GGCTGAGTTGCAAACACTGTTTTATGTGCTTAGCCTTTGTGGCTTCGGTTTGCTGCTGGTTAATGGGAGATAGTCACTGTGGCCAGGAATGACTCTTTACTTGTTTAAACCGGTGGCCCTTTCCTTCGTAGGCTGAGTTTATCATCCATCATCAGAAGAGGACATGGAGCTACTCTTGGCATTATCCTGCCAACTTAAATTGAGGGAGAAGCCCATCAGCTTGTACCTGGGAGGTGGGAGGGAAGGTTGCAAACCTGACTGGTGATCCCTGGGAGTCCCGATCCTGTAGAAGCTGCCTCCCAGAGCGCGCCTACAGCCTTGGGTTCCACTCCCAAAGTCACGGGGCCCGTGGCTATTCTGCTTCAGGCATGGCTCGACATCCCCGTTGCACGCGGCTCATCCAGCATGGTCTTGCTGGGTCTGCCTCAGTGACAGGACAGAGAGGAGAAGGGGTAGGAGAAGGAGGAGTGGTGGTGGTGGTGCTTGGCAGCCTGGTGTTCCCCGTGGGGACATTCAGTTTTGCAGTGAACCTCTTGGATTCTTGACGAGTCATGTCTGTTGACCCTTCTGGGCACGCTACGGTGATGGTTTAGTTATTTACTAAAGCCTTTTGAAGGGAAAGTGGCTCGATGGGGTCTGAGGCTTTTGTGTTATGGAGAGTTGTGTGAGAATCTTTGCTGGGGTTAGCTATTAGCTGATTGTTTAATTATTTGGCTCTGTAACTAAGTAACTAAATGCCTTGAGCCTTAAGATAAGCAGCTCTTTGTTAACATTTTAATAAATGGAGACAAATAATAATAATTTAAAACCTAAGGAAGTATAAATCTCCCGCTTCAGTGACCGAATCTTGAACAGAAGCATGATTTGGAATGTAATTGCCTATCTCATACTAATCTGAAACAGAGCATTCAGAATGTCCCCAATCCTCTATTGTGGTCTGGGCTTTTATACAAAGAGTGTTTACCCCATTTGATGGCTGGATGGCATAAACCATGCTGCGAGACCGTAGGAGCGGGCAAAGAAAAAGTTCACGTCTGTTTATTTAACAGCCGCTCGGTTTTCCATGGCGGTATTGTTCAATAGCTCCACCTATAAAGTTAAAACACATTGTGCGCACCGCTATTACAAATAAGGATGTAGCTGGGAGCGGACAATAGCAGAAGCAACGTGCCCTCCCTTTGTCCCCCAGTGTTTAAGAACACCACCAGAAATTTTACAGGTGCCTTTGTGGCTTGTTTGTTTTTACCGGGGAGGTGGACAGGTGTTATTCACATCAGGTAATGCACCTTTGCAGTAGGAACTAATGCCACAATTATAGGATTTGCAGGAGAACCTGCTAAGAAAGGCATCCCGTGCCGCCTTCCCGCGGCCCTGCGGAGCTCCCCCGGCCAAGGGCTGACGGAGATGGCTGAAGGATACAGCTTAAAGGCAGAGCTTCAGAGAGGGCTGGAGGAGCTCCGGCTCACATCACACGGATGTGATAGCGGATCATCAAGCCTTCCTCGGTGCTGCGGGCTCTGCAGGGCTGTCTCCTCCTTCTCCCATCCCGCTATTTGCACTAAGGGAAAACTCAAGAGGATGCTGGTGAAAATACCGGAGGATGAGTACAAGCGAGGGCTGAGCAGACTTGCAGCATTATTTCTCAAAAGACGTGGAAGGGGGGAAAGAATCCTGATGTCGGCCCCAGGGGAAGCATCGATGTGATGGTACAGCGTGCACATGAGCTCAGAATTTGTCCCTAAATTTTGGAGCAGTGTAAAAATCCTCATGCAGTGTCCTGGAGAGAGAGTTAACTTTGCAGCCTGGGTTGTTGTTTGTGTGATGTCAGGAATTTTTTTTTTAACAATTTAAACTGGTTGATTTTCGCAGTGAAGCTGTTGGGCGGACTCATGCCTCAGAATCCCACCTGTTCTCTGTTTGCTTTTGGGCACCATTTCAAACCCACACTGGAAAAAGTTTATAGGCAAACATTATAAAAAGTGACAGTCTTAAGTGCTGCTACATTCTAGTTTGGCAACACAAAGGCTTACCTGAAATAACTCACTATTTCCAAACATGACTTCATTATTTCATGACAATACTTTGTGCTGTATCTTCCCTGATACTCTAGAGAGAAGCAAACGAAGGACGATAATATTTACCAAATGCTAATACCTATTTGAAACTTGTTTTTCTTCAGTATACTAGAAATTTTCCTCGTAAAAGCAATTCTTTTGTAGTTTTGAAATGAATTACTGTTCTTGGGTTTGGATTTGTGTTGACTCAGTGTAAATTTGGGGATAATGGTTTAAAAAGACAGGATGGGAGGTTGAAAGTTATTTTCCTTGCAATTGTATGCGAACAACGGATCTGCCCAGGAGGACGCTGCAACCTGCGTGACCATCCTGTGACTTTCCAGGGGCTCTTCAGCGAAAGCCGCTAATGCACTCGAAGGAGGGTTGAGTTGTCTTCACCCATTGTGGCTTTTAAAAAGTTTAAACAAAGACATTTTTAAAGACTCCTGTACATTGTTGGCACAGCATAAACTCTGTAAAAGAAATTTTCCTTGCAGGTAGAGCATTACAAAGAAGTCTTAAAAACTTCAAAGTAAATTAGCTAGTTGGCTTCAGCTACTTTTTTTTTTTATTATTATTATTTTACAGTGGAATCTGGATTTAAAGAAATCTCAAGCAGACTCAAATATACTCATTACTGTTACAAAATATAAGTAGAGAGGAGCCCATGCTCCTTCTGGAAATAGATTTCTAGCAGCGTAGTGTAGTACTCAGTGAAACACCTGCCTTGCGGATCTGTGCATTCGTGACTGTATCGGCAAGGCTGAATTAGTTTATAAGGAGTATAAAGCTGTGTTGTAGCTTCTCCTCGATTCTGAGATGGAACTTTGCATGCAAGAAGGTTTAGAAACCTTGTTATAAAATCTAAATCCAAGAATCTTTACAGTCTCTGTAATTGGTCTTGTTTAAATGGTCTTAAGTACTTCTCCGGGCCACCTTCTTGGTGTGATGCATGTGTCAGATCTGTTGTTTGAAAAACTGTGTTTGCCCTAGGGAAGAAGCCAGGAGAAGCTTTGCTTGCTTTGCAAGGGCACATCCATGGATCAGTTCTCCCTTTGCTTTGGTCAAACTCCCATTGAACTCTTTGAAATGATGTGATTTCAGGATGAGTGGGAGGACAAATTGGACACACTATTTTCAAATACATTAATATAACCCAGTGTTTAAATGCATGAGTGTCCCACTGTGGTGGCCACTTCTGGTACTCACAGAATGACAGACTATCTCAAGTTGGAAGGGACTCATAACAATCATGAAGAGATCAAGGCAGACAGAGGAGTTGTGAATGCCCCATCCCTGGAGGTGTTCAAGGCCAGGTTGGATGGGCTTTGAGCAACCTGGGCTGGTGGGAGGTGTCCCTGCCGACAGCAGGGGGGTTGGAACTGGATGATCTTTAAGGTCCCTTCCAACCTAAACCATTCTATGATCGTGAAATCCAATTCCCTGCTCCTCTCAGGGCTACCTAAAACTAAACTACTGACAGAACTCCAGCATTTCCAAACTTCTGCCTACAGCCCGCCTCAGATGTGATGCTTGTTTCAGACTTGGCTGTTGGAGGTGTGACACAAGCGATGACAACGCCATGCCCCAAGGATGAGGCACATGGGTTTCAGGGTTTCGGTATTCTTAGAAACAAGGGGGAGTCACCTATTTTAATATTCCCTCAGACTCCCGAACAAACAGAGAAAGGCGTGTGTTTTATTTACACGTGCACAGAGGGGTGCACAGTTGGTGCCCGCGCAGGGAAGGATGTGTCACCCTCCTTATAAGCAAACAGAAGATGCCTTCATGCTGCTCTCCCTTATTTACTTTTCATGCCGGCCTTGGTGAGGCCAGGAGGCTCGTGGGAGAGGGATACTGTGGTTGTAGGGAGAAACCAGTTACAAAAGCAGTGCCTGTACTGGGCACAGCTCAAGTGTGGCATGGGGGGTCCCTCCACCCTGTGCTGAGCCGTCCTGCTGTCCCTCTGGAGACGGTCCCGAGTGCCCGGGGCTGCAGTTCCCTTGGAAGGGGGTGGTGAAGCCCTAGTAACTATAGGCAGATGTAGTTTTCCAAGGATGTTTGTTTGGAAAAAGACTGTGGTTTGACATTCTTCTCGTTATTTGGTTACAAAAGGGAACTGGTGAATGAGCCGTTTCATTTTGAACTTCGAAAGCTGCACTTGTGTTCCCGGATTTCTGCTGTATTCTGCTCAGGAGAGGCTGTGAAATAAGAAATGAAGCAAAAAGAAAAAAGTTACTGTCACTGGGAGCAGAGTGGGCAGTGTAGAAGGCAAATGTACAGCCTTTGGGAAAGGTGCAGGGAGAAAACTAAAGGACATCCTATATGCTGTGTACAGGAATTCAGTTTTTTTAGCTTAGCTAGTGAAGGGTTTTTTGGCCATCCTTTTCTTCCAAGACAGCTCTTTTCAGTTGGTGGTGGGTTGTTTTTTTTTTGGTTGTTTGTTTGTTTTTTTTTAAAAAGGAATTTACAAAATCAGATGGGGAAAGATAAATATTTGTTCGAATCATAGACACAAATGCTAAGATATAAAACTGAATTTGCTTTCTGAACTCCTGGCACCTCCAAATCCTCTGAAGCCCCTGGGTTCAGCTGCACTCACAAAGGGTTGTGCCTTTGCATGGCACTTGGGACAAGGCATGTGCTGAGACACCCATCAAAAGGGCTTTGTTTGTGGTGGAATTCTGGAAAACGAAGCCTATCCCATAGCTGCATATGGTTCAATTTTACGAGACGGATTGCTGGGCTAATCTGGACGCAACTTTTTTATTGAACATAACTTGATTTCTGTGGATGAAAAGGGCCTTCACTGACTTTTGTTGGAAATTCTCTCCTTTCCCTTCTCTTTCTTCTTTTTCCTCCTTTCCTTCCACCTTCGCAGAGCCGCCAACCAAATACCAAATCTCTCAGCCAGATGTATATTCCGCGCTTCCAGGAGAACCGCTTGAGTTGCGCTGTCAATTGAAAGACGCCGTCATGATCAGTTGGACTAAAGATGGGGTCCCTTTGGGGCCCGACAATAGGACAGTGATTATTGGGGAGTACTTACAAATTAAGGATGCTGCACCCAGAGATTCGGGCCTCTATGCTTGCACTGCTGTTAGGACCCTAGACAGTGATACTCTGTACTTCATTGTAAATGTTACAGGTGAGTGAGTTAAACACAGGTTTCTTATATGTAGAAGGTGTAAAATGTGATGTAAAGACGCATTATGATATAACGGGAAACACTCCACTCGGGCACAGCGAGTTGAGCTGAGTTCTGTAGTTATTTCAGGTATTTTCCCCCTTGTCCTGACCCTGAAAGGGACTCAGTTTGTATATACTCCGTTTCCTTCACGGGATCTATAGTGATTAACAGCTGCTGAACAACCCTCTGTTTTATGCCACTATGACGGGACTGAATTATACAGAGTCGCTGTGATGATGATAAAGCCAATAAAATGAATACAATTTTTCCTCCCCGCATCAGAAGAGGAAAAGGGGTGCCCTACATCCTTTAAGTTTAGGGATAAATCGTTCTGTAGACACTCAGTTCTTCTTAACTGAATGTCTTTAACAAAAATAAAAATTGTAAGTGGAAAGAGATTTTTGGCGCTAGCAAGCTCCCTTTGGTAACTTTGTAGCATTTCAGGATTATTAGCTCTTTTTGTTGGCATTTTATAAGAGTAACACACATTCTGTGGCTGGATTTTCTTTTTCTATAGCTTCTGCACAACTAACGTAACATCTGTTCTCCCTGATAGATAATCTAAGATGCAGCATATTGGTTTATTTGTTTGTAAAAAATAGGCTGGTTTAAAGACTTGATTATTTTTAATGCGCAGATGCTCTTTCCTCTGGGGATGATGAAGACGACAATGATGGGTCCGAGGACTTTGTGAATGACAGCAACCAGATGAGTAAGTAACAGCGAACTGCCAGAAGTCACTAGCAAGATCCACGTGGAAAATAATGTCCCGTCTTTCACTCTCCTGCCTTCAGAGCTTCTTGATTGTTAACCGCATGGGCCGTCATATAGTGGTATCTTTGTCCTTCTCTGTTTTCTGTTTCACGTAGTTCATAACTTGGAAAAGAAAAAGAAAAATAAACTAATATTCTTCTAAACACGCTTTCCTGGTCTGTACTTTCTTTCTCCCTTCTTGCTGGCTTTTCTGCAGTTTCTTCTCTTCCTGAGTCGAAGTTCAGTCTTTGTCTGGTTTAGACTCTCTCAGATGAACTAACTTTCCCTGAACCCGAGCTGAAATTTAACAGAAGAAACAAAGACCCAGCTCACTTTGTTAAAAGGTGGTATGGAAACTTTAAAAATGAAATTAAGTCGTAATGAGGCAAATCCTTCAATCCTTAATCTCGGCAGAAATCTCCCCGGGGAGAATGAATTTGGAGACAATGAGGTTCTTTTGTCTGCAAAGGACCTCAAGGTTTGTCGCAAAGAAAGCAATCCAGCACTAAAACCACGTTTTATGTTACTTAGGCATGATGAAAATGGGCTAAAAGAGTCTTAAACCTAGCTGAATGTTAAACTTCAGTCCCTTTGGAGAATTTGGAAAGCTATTAATAGGCTCTAAATAGAGCAGTTGCTAAGAAAAAAAACATGTAAAATTCATATTGGTTCCTTATGCCCCTGTGCACTGCTGCAAAATCCCGGCGGTGACTGGTAGTTTGCTATCGCTGGTGCTTTGCGAAGTCAATAACACGCAGAACACAGAAATCCTTCACGGGAGATGTCATCTAGTTGCCAAATGCCGCAGCCAGGTAGTATATTTGCTCGTCAGCCTGATTAGTAATTGGCAGCTATACCGTATGCTCGAAACACCGGTTCAGATGATAAAGCACGAGCCCGATTTCAGCTCCCCTAGTTAGTTACTGTCGTATAGAGCTGCCCCTGCTCTGAAGCTGTGAAACATTAGATGCTTTTTAAAATGATATAAGTTCTGAGCTGCCTGTTTGGCCCCTGCCATCTGTTAGTGTGATTAGCCCTGTCTGATTCACAGGTGCAGCTTGAAGTGGCTGAGATTAAGCAGCTGGAGGCTGCTCTGACAAAGGAATGTGGTGGCAAAGATAATTGGCAATTTTGGGAAAGGGACACTGCTTTTAAAAGAAGTCGTCTGGGCCAAACCCACCAGCCCGGGCGATGTTAAGTGTTCCCCTGCAAGGGACTCGTGGCTAGAAATTCCTTTTAGGAAACATCGCTATGGTGGTTATTGCTTTAGAGCTGGTCAGAAAAAGGGCTCGCGGTATTTTTGGTGCGCTAGCATCCGTGCTGACGACTTTGGAGATTCACTGTGAGCACAAATGGATCTTGGAAGCACCTAGAGCATGGAAAAAAGAAAAGGACCTGATATCAGGACAACTCTGTAACATCGTGCGTGGTAAGGATTCCACACAACAGGGAGAACTACCCAGCGGTGTCCTCTGGAACGCTAGTGATGTTCTTGTAACGTGAGCTATCATTTTAAGCTACTGCTAATCAATCTTGATTCCAGAGCTGGTGAAAGGCCATTGATGATTTCTGTCGGCCGGGGACGGGCTGTGTACTTTAGCAGGGGTCAGTCGCACTTTCCCTGCTCCAAATGAAAGATGCCTCTAGAGTGTGAACAGTTGAATGTCTCGAGCGGTGGGGAGAGCATGAGCTGGTGCAGTGCAGAAGGGAGGAAATGGCAAGAAGACAGATCGCTGCTGTTGCACAAAGTCCTCGTGAAATAGCTCTTATCAAGGTGCCCATGAAGTTCTTGCCATCTGCAGAGGGGCTCCCGGAGCAGGGCAGCCATCCTCCCGGTGTCTGGGCTGGAACTGGACGAGCGCTGGTGGCACCGCACCCCTGCAAGGAGTCTGTTTTCAGTGAGAAGTTGAATCACAGTAACTTGGTTGGATCAGTACAACTTTGCTGAAAGAGGGTTGTGATTTGGCAGGATCAGAGCTGTGTGGAGGTTGGGATGGGATGGTGTATCTGGTGTCTTCTAAGCCTTCCCATCAGTATTATTTGCCATTTCCCTTCTGGATTTTATAGCTAATTTAAGAAACTGCTGCAAGGCAGATTGAAAAGTGAATGAGGAGTTGAGGAATAGTCCTAAGTCCACCCTGAGTGTGGCTTGTGGTGGGCAGTGGTGTGCAATGGCCAAATGCCCTTTACCACCTTCTCCCGCCCAGGGAAGTCCAGGACCTCATGAGTCCCTGGTTGCTGCTCTCTAAGAGAAAAAAATCTTTAAGTGTTTCCTGAATCGTGGTTTGAGCTTTGCAGATCGAAAACAATTTGACTGATAATTTACATACAAATTACAGCTGTGATCATTAAGGATAAGCAATGGAAATTGGCCTGGTTATGCCTTTACTGATGGAAACAAAAGGCCATAGTCTTCAAAGGTTGTTGCTTTTTTGATGAAACAATTCTGATAAAGTCCAGCTGTCCTGGCATGTTAATTATGATGTGATGAGGCAGGAAATGGCTGTAGTGCCTTCCACAGGAAACCGAACCTTGGCATTCTCATTCCTGCATATTTAAAACTAAAGGAAACCTTTTAGAGCTGTTTTATTTACTGACGGTAAGTATTCTTTTCAGCTTCTTTATCTTCTTTGCCTCCCTTACAAATCCATTTTCAGAGGCCAAGGTTCTCCAGTGCAGGCAGAGAGGGGCTGTTGAGGAAATCGAGCCTAATTTTCAAGGCTGCCCAGAAAATACGAATTCGCTGGGAGGCAAGGGAGGCTGTAAGTGGCTCGGTAGCCCTCTTGGGAGAGGAGGGCACTGGTCTGTACACATGGGCGTTTGACCATTTGCCCCGTGTGTATTTTGAAGTAAAAGGCATGCATAGCAGATTGCACTCTGCGTTTGGTGTCCTTCTCGCTTGACAGATATTTTAACTGTCTGAAAAAACACTGCGGTAGATTTGTTCCAGACTGCATCCTGCATAGCTTTTTATTGCTTCCAGCTTTTGTTGGAGGGATTAGTGCTTGTGGGGAAGGTGCAGGATTGGTTCCACTGCAAAACAGTCCTCTCTCGCCACAACACAGCTTTGTTGGCAACTCCGTTTTTCCCTTCGTTGCCCTAAAGAGGTGCTTCGGCTTGGTTCTGGAGCCTCACCTCCAAGGACATTGACCTGGGACTTTATTTGGCAAAGCTGAGGGCTGATCATCATCAGTTCCTGCTGGCAGCAGTGGAAAATACATTGGTGGTGCTTGTTGCCTTGTCCTAATTGTGATTTTGAGAGGTAGCCCTAACTTAAGGGACTTCTATAATCCTGGCTTGGTGCTGGCAAGGCAGTGGCTGTTGTGATGGTTGCACTGCGGTCCACCAATGGTAATTTATTCTGGAGACCCCTGGGTAGCCCTGAAGATGCTGCTATTCCGCCTTGAATTCCAGTCAGGTGACTGGAAGCTTTATGGCTTTTTTCCTTATCACCCTTTAAACAATTTCTGCTGGGCCAAGCAATGGTAAATTGGCACCAAGAACAAAAACTGTCTAAATGTAATCCACATGCTGTTCTTTTCATGCCTTGAAGAATTTCAGAAAGGATGCAACAAGGTTCAAATTCATCAAATCCTGTAGAGTGGAAACCCACTCAAGGGAGCAGCAAAAATTGGATGTTGCCTAGAAGTGTTTTTTAATTAAAGGTCAAATACAATAGTACTGAAAACCTTGGGGGGGAGGTGTTGATGTGGTCATTTCAGGCGCTCTATTGTCCGCTTGAGGTGCTTGTCAGGCCGGCTTGGAGTTGACTACTTTTGTATTTCTTTGTATTAGATAAGTCCAAATAAAAATTGAGGAGTCCTGAAGTGAAGTGGTCCCCTGGGCTGCCTAATTTCAATTTCGCATGCAGGAGATCTGCCTGATTAGATGTAACGTATTTGCAGTGGAGTGCAGTGTGGGTCAGCAGGATATTTTCTTCACTAATGAGAGCTCTAAAAGCAATCAGGAATTCCCACCCGTTCCCCTGCTGCTCGTTACTGCTACTCGCCGGAGTCTGCCCTGTTGTTGCTGTGATCATTTAACAGCGGTGCTACCGACGTCCACCTGTCCCGTCGGCAAAGAGGGGATGCGATGGACACGGTCTGTAGGAGGACTCGGCGCTTGGTGGTATACGCTCGTTAACAGCGTTCATTCTTGCTTTTAGTGAATCTGTACGTTCTTCCTCTCAAGACAAACAGAAGCGGTAAAAGCTGCTTTTAGGTTTTGGTAATTTAATCGATAAAGATAAATGCTGCACGTTATCAGGGTCAGTCACTGCATGAAAGCACAAAATGAGGGGGAGCGTTATGGTTTGTGGATGTTGCTGCCTTTTTCTCTCTTTTTTTTTTTTTTTTTTTTTTTTCCTTAAGTGTACTGTGAGGAGCTGCCAATATGTGTTGCTACTACTGAGTGAAAAATGGTAGGATGTCTTGAAGCATTTTCCAACATGTGATGTCCGCATGTTTTTCTCCACGCTCCCCTGTGATGCCGCAGCGTTGCAGGTTACGCTGAGGGCTGTGCGAGGGGAAGCTTTCTCAGCAGAGCACTTTCTCCCAGCCTGACGATTTTCCTTTCCCTCTCTTTTCGTGGCACAGAACCGAGCTGCTTCTCTCCACCCCTGCCTGCATCCTCCTGGGCCTCTTCTCTGCTCCCGCCTCCTCCGTAGAGCAAAGTTCTTCCTCCCTGTGCTTTTGTGGTACATGAGCCTTATCAGAGCACTTCTTTTCCAGCAGCCAAGTCTTTTTTTTTAAAGGGTGAGGGTTGATGGAAAGGGGGTTACAGGCAAGAAAACCAGAGGATGAGCCGCACTATAATGCAGTAGAAACGTGGCTGTAGGAAGTAGCCTTGTTTGGGGAACTGGTGGTGGCTGGATCCTGACTAACTGGGATGGTCTGGTCCTGGGATGCGCCCTGATGGGAGCTTCTCTGGAGCTGGGTCCATCAAGCCCGTGCTCGCCTGGGCGAGCTGTGGAGCCTGTGGTTGAGAGGTTGTGCTTGCCAATGACTGCATCTGTAGGTGTGAGAAGGTCCATGTGGTGGGCGTGATGAGAAGTGACCGTGCTGGCTGCAAAGTTGCTGGGCGGGCATTGCCTGTTTGGGGTCAAATCAAGGCACTTTGCTCCATTTGAGGTACCAATATAACTGGTTCGGATGGTTGATTGGCTTTGACCTGCCACGGTTTACTTTGACTTTGTGGGAACTGTGGGTAGAGCCCAATAGTGGTCACCTTCCGTTGCTTGGTGGAAGATGTTTAGTGATCCAGAGAAAATACCCTTTTAATAAGTCAGTACCAACATGTAATTCCGTCTTTGCCTGATATACTTGTAATGTAATTTGGTCTTTGCTTGTAGTAGTTAATTCTTTTGGTTGGCTTTGTTTAAAGTCTTTTGTTGTTTTAATGTGATCCTGGTTTTAGCAAATAATGTTAACAGTGATTTTCCTTGCATCCCTAATTCACTTTAGTCCGTGTAACAATTTCTTAGTCTTGCAGTTAAATTTTCAATAGTTACCTGATTTTCTATTCTGATTACATGCACAAATTTGCTTTGCTTTTCTCCTTCATTAATTTTAACAGTAATTGCCACTTCAGGCAAAAAAAAATATAAATCACTTATCGTTCTTAGCATCATTATAAGACTTGCTTTTGGAATGTTTTCTTTATACTGAGAGAGACGTTGTTAAAGGATTTATTCCTGTATTTTCTATCCAGCTGTATTTTTATTTAGAGAGGGGGGTGGCAGGATTTCTGAGTTTGCACTGATTGTAAGAACCGCTATAAATATTTGAGGAACGGAAGAGTTTATTTATAGTGGAGTGTTAGGCTGCTAATGAAGGAAATGAAACAGGGCTGAGAGAAATAGAGTTATTTTTCTGGACCCCTCTAGTCCTAAAAATTCCACACTAATCTGATTTGCTTCAGGAAAGCTCCATTGTAAAATAAATTAATGTTTCCTACTATTAAACAGATCTTGAATCTTTAACTTTTTAAAAACTTATGGTGAGACAATTGAAGCGATGCCATGAAGATGCCGTGTAATGTAGCAGAAGTGTTGCGTGGATCCAGAGCATGCGATAGCCTTGTACATGGATCTATCTATCCCAATTTACTTCTTGGAGGGTAAAAATAGATGGGTAATTGTATGGGTTTGTTCTGCTGTGTTTGCTGTACTGGTATGTGAGAAATGATCGAGAACCTGAATAGAGAGGGGTTTTCCATGTGCTCCTCACACGGACATGGGAAGGAGTGAGCGAGCGCCTTGACAGGAGCTGCTAAAAATGATCACTCTAGTAAATACGGGCTCAGAGAGACACTCCTGTTTTGTCCCACGGTGTTGGACACCAGTGAACATTTGGGCTTCAACACGCTCAAGAGAGTGGGAAATCCTTGCAAAACAATCAACGCTATTGCTGAATTTTGCTGATCATCCATTTATAGATACATTTTAGTGGCTTCTATGACAGTAACAGCACAGCTCGCATTGCCGTGGTACACTCTAAGTTTTAACGTACTGCCAGGCAGGTAGGTATGCTTATCCCCCTTCTAACAGATGGGGAAAGGTTAAGGCTGAGGCTTCCAACAGGTCTTCTGACTTGGTCTGTGTGGCTTCAGAGCCGGAGTCTGAGAACTCAAAGTTTGCTGAGCGCTCACAGTAACTCAACTTGAGGTCAAAAGTGTCTGATCGTTTGAGTCTGCTGAAAACTGGGTCCCTCTATCTTACTTGACATACACAAAGGACATCTGTGGTTCATTATTGGGATTTTGTCATAAATTATACACTCAAAGCTGCAGGCGGAGCTGTTTGCAAGACTCTGGTCACCACTTGTGGCATATGATTTCCAGTTGTGTACTCTTTCTAAAGCACACGGTCTCTGCTGAAACAAATGCGCACAACACGTTGTCTGTGGAAGGGGCTGGAAAGGGAGCTCCGTTTCCGAGTACTCATATTTCTGGATGTATCTCTTTGAAACAGGGGCACCCTATTGGACACATACGGACAAAATGGAGAAAAGGCTACACGCGGTGCCAGCGGCCAACACTGTCAAGTTTCGTTGTCCGGC